GATTCTTCATTTTAAGTAAGTGTGGTAAGAGAAAGCTTTTACTTCGCTGTATGAATGCACACGACACGTGTGAGGTCATGTTATGTTGACATAGCAAACATTGTCGCTTCTCCTCCCCACCCGTTATCTCTCGCTGCTCATGCCTATTCACTTTTCTCTCCTTTTTATCCATTTGGTTCTCTCCCATTTATCTCATCATGCACGTTGCCTTCCATTTCCTTGTTATTCAAAAGTAGTAAGGAGGATATGTTGGGTTAGCTTGAGGTACAGAAAATATGAAAAGTGGATGTCGTGCCAAAACAAACACACCCACTCAACCCTCACTCATCACCCACACCACCCACCACCACCACCACCACCACCACCACCCACCACCACCAACCCCACCCTAAATCCTTTCCAGTGCTTGCGTTATTCATTTACATTCTCGATGTCGGCGCGGAAATTTTTCGTGTGTAGTGTCTCTGCGATGATGATTAAAACCTTTGTAACGGTCATTTTCACTGGACGGACGAGTATCAAAAATTTCGAACGAGGCATTGGACGGACATCTTTGTGAAGGTTAGTACATGTATTTTATGTTATCAATAATATTTGCTCTCCTATCCTATCCTCCCCTCCCTCCCCTCTCCTCTCCTCTCCTCTCCTCTCCTCTCCTCTCCTCTCCTCTCCTCTCCTCTCCTCTCCTCTCCCTCTCCTCTCCTCTCCTCTCCTCTTCTATATGTATGTTCAGCTATATTTTTATGGTTTTGCTTGTTTATAGACATATACTATGGTATATTTTATACACGGTGTGTGATGATTACGATTGTTACGTATAGTAGGTGCATTTATTACTCTAAATAGGATTAGGTTAGGTTAGCAGCACACCGAAAGTGTGAGGTCTTGTTATGTTGACATAACAAAATCAGACCCCCCCCCCTTTCCTCCCCATCATCTCTCGCTGCTCTTGCTACCCGGCCTATTCCCCCTTCTCTCTTTTTTATCCTTTTTTCATTCCTTCTATTTATCTCGACATGCTCCTCTTCTTTCTTTGCCTCACATTTCATCTTTCAATTACTCCCAAAATAACTAAAAACTTGTGCAAATTATAAATTCTTATATATTTCTTCTGCAAAATCAATGACGATAAAACAGTCTGTTAATCACCACCACCCTAAATCCTTCCTTCCCACTGTTTGTGTTACCTCTCGCGGAAGCTCTAGTCCTCCATTTGCATTCCAACTGTGGTCGCGTCAACATATCCTGCTGTACAGTGCTTCTGATACAGACCGTTTGCATTATTTTTGTGTGTATTGTGAATAACTTGAATTAGGCTCTTTTGTGTGTTTGTTATGACACAGTGACGGTAACATGAAAATACAGCAAGGACTTATAACAACGCATTTCACGACGATTTTTTTGATTTCGAAGGAAGCACTGGAAGGACTTAATTTTTAAGGTTAGTACATGTTATAAATTACTGTATTATTGTATCATTGTTAATTATATTATTATTATTATTTATTGTTATATTTTATATATGTACATTTTTATTCATATTATATATATCTATTTTTAATCGTTATATCTCTTTGTTATTTATCGATTATTACACATAGCTTATTACGTACAAGTGTTGTTGTTGTTTTTTTTCATGTACTGGGTGATTGATTGTCATGTTATGCCGCAAAGACGAACGTTATATATTTGTTTCGATACAAAATATACTTGCTCTTGTCTTGTGATTAATAAATGATAATAAAAATACATATATTACTCTTTGACAATTTTGCTGTGACGATTATTTTTATATATATGAAAGGAAATATATATATATACTTGTACATAGGCCTACGCAGTACGATTCAAAGTAACAACATTAATGATATTTATATTTGGTGTTCATTATAAATGTTTACAAATGTTCATCGCATCTTTGAATGAGACTAATCGTTTTTATTTCGTAGTATGTTATTATAATACGGCTTACAAACAACTGTTTTTAATATGCGCATAGGGGTGAGTAAAGGATATTTTTATTGAGATTTTAATTTATAGTTATTTATCAAGGTATACTAATATTAGTTATTATATAAAATGTCATACCCATTGTATACTTAGTCATTGTAGAAACGCTTTTATGGGTTTTTGTAATTCACTTTACCCCCCCACTCTCCCCCTCCAATACCATCGGTCGCGTGCCCTCCTCCTATCCCGGAAGGTCAGACTTGTCATTTATTGTTCATCTTTTTTTCACGTGAACACGTGGGCAGTGCGGTGGGACACTTGCAAAGCGCTTTCAGTATATAATAACAAGTGTTTTGTTTTCATAGTGGTGCACGTTTTGTATACATTTGTTAACAATCTTACCTAGTCAGTTGAACGGACATGTTTGTTTGCACGGTACTGCCGCCATATTAATGGATAGAACGACACAAATCTTGTTTTTGTATTGTGATTTTATTTTTCATTCCAAACAATATTACAGGGGTGGGTGACTTTGATACTGCTGCGCATA